GGGCGGGTGAGAAAAGTCGCATGAGGAGCCTGGAAGGGGTGCTGCAGGGCTGGGGGCCAGGGAACTGTCGTGAATGCTGGCATCTAGTCCGTCAGTGTGCTCCTGGTGGGGTCTGGGTTCCAAACAGAAAGCAGAACAATAGAAAGCGTAACATCACACAGTGATGGTGTCACCAAAAAATAAAACAAAGCCAGGTGATGTGGTGAGAGTGCCAGGGGAAGGCGGACAGAGAAGCCTTCTCCGAGGAGGTGACTTCTGGGCAAAGACATCCAGCATGGCATCCAGCAGTGTGCCATCTGGGGGAAAAACTTACCCAGGGGGAGAGGCCACATGCAAAGGCCCTGAGGCAGAAATGGGCTTGGTGTGGTGTAGCTGGTGGGAGGCAGGACAAGAGCTGGGACGGGGTGGGAACCCACAGGACCTGTGGGCCAGGGTCAGGGCCGGAAGCTGCCCCAAGGACGGCAGAGAAGCCCGGAGGCTGAAGCCTAGGACAGGGGCAGCTCACATTGTGCTTATTTGCATGTTACAGAAACTTCTTGGTTTACTGTCTCCTCACTAGAATATACCGTGAAACCTCATTGTGAAATGTCGGCCCCTAATCCAAAATTTAAAAAAAATGGCTGGGGGCTGTAGTTATGTAAGATGTGACCCCGGGGGGAGATGGGGTGAAGGGTACGAGGAGGTCCTCTGTGCAGGAGCCCCCCTTATCCACGGGCAACATGGTCTGAGGCCCCAGGGGGCGCCCGGAACCACGGGCAGGGCCGCGCCGTCCACCTGCCTACCGAGGGTAAAGCTAATTTATCGGTCAGGCGCCGCCAGCGCTGACCAGCAACACGGCGGAGCGGCCACGGCGCTCTGACAGGCTGCGGGCGCGTCCCCGTGTCTGCATCGCGCGTGTCTGTCTTGCTGTCTCGCCCTTTCTCGGTGAGATGATAAAATGCCCACGCGGGAGAGGCGTTCGTGGCTTGAGGTGCGACAGGAAAACCAGCCCTGGCTCTGTCCTTCGTCACGTCGCCCACAGGAGGCCTGTCCCGACCGCAGCTCTCAGCAGCTCGGCCGCGGTGTCTTCCCTCGTTACTTCGAGGACTTTCACCTTCTCTGTGGCGTCTGAACCGCCAGCAACGCTGTCCCTGCGCTTCGGGGTAAAACGGGGGTGACAACACACGCGCCCGACGCCGAGACCGTGGCTCTGACACCCAAGCGGCCGCCGTGTGGCCGACGCGGGAGCGTCTGGAGCCTGGAGACCCTGACGCAGGAAAATCACGCCCCCCGCGGACGCTCGCGGTTTCATCACCCTGCTCAGAACATCTGCAACTTGAAACTTACGAATGGTTTATTTCTGGAATTTTCCATTTAATATTTTTGGATGACCATTGTCTAAAACCATGGGAAGCAGAACGGTTACTACATTTGCAACTTTGCGTGACTCTATAATTATTATTATTTTTTAAAGTAAAAAAGAAAAGACTGTGGGCCAAAGAAACAAGGGGGGTGTTAGTCCCGGAGCCAGCAGCGTGGAGCCCCGGGTTTGAAGGAGCAGGACGTTCCGCTCCTCGCTCAAGGCCGGCGTTCCTTGGGGCCCGTGTCGCTGGTCCAGGGGCCCGGCGACTGGGTCCAAGGGAAGTGGCCGTGGCATCGAGGCACCCGAGACAGCTGGTGGCGGGTGCGGGCGCGCCAACGTGCTGACCATTAACTTAGCGGCCTAAGCCGACACCCACTCATTCCCTCAGTTCCCGGGGTCAGGGCGGGGCACAGGCCGGGGCTCCGGCTCAGGGTCTCGCGCAGCTGGAGCCCAGGTGTCAGCTGCGGCTGGGGTCCCATCCGGTGGGGCCTCTTCCAGGCCACTGGTTTTGGGGGGGTGCCCTTTTTTTCTAGCTGTCGACTGGGGACCATTCTCAGGTCCCAGAGGTGGCCGTCCCCTCCTTGCCACGTGACCCCTTGTCTCACAGTGTGGCACCCGGCTTCTGGGCCACCAGGGGGCTCTCTTGGCAGCGACGGAGCCTCCTGTAGGGCAAGGTAACCCCTGGAGGGCCGATTCCATCACAGGTCCCTGGGCCATGGTCACGGCGCTGCCACTCTCAAGGGGGAGATTAGACAAGGTGGGTGCCCCTNGCGCTGCCACTCTCAAGGGGGAGATTAGACAAGGCGGGTGCCCCTGGGGCTCATCTTGGAATTGTGCCTGTCACCCTCACAGGCACGTGCCCCCGATCCTCCACTCCTCTGCAGCAGCATCGCCATGAAGTCCCCCATCCCCTCCCTCTGCAGCCGGGTCTGCCTTGGGTTTCGGGCCTCACTTTCACACCCTGGTGTCATCCCCTCCCCTGGATGACTTCTTCCTAAGCAGTGGACGTGGCGGAGGCGATGGGCGGTCAGCCCTACGATTTTCTTACATCCCGTAAGAGTCGGCGCAGACCCGCTCTAGGGTCTTCCTGTCCTCGCTGGCTCTGGAGAAGCAGCGCTCCCACCACCCCGACGCCGCCAGGAAAAGCAGCCTGCCCGGCGCCGAGCGAGCCTCCTGGGGGACACGGAGTAGACGCCTGCGGCGACCGGCTGAAGCCGCGGGGCATGAGGGCGTTCGAGTCTGACTTTATGCTCTAACAGCAGAAGTGAGGGGCTCCGGGGAGCTCCGGCTCTTGAATCCACATCGCACGCATTTTTGCGGAAAACACTGCATGACGCTGACTGGGCTGAGGAAGCAGGTTCTCCAGGCGGAGCCCTGAGGCTAGGCAAAGACTCGGGGACACTCTTTGCCGGGAAATGACGGCTAAACCCAAATATACAGCCAGTTCTGTTATCACTTATACCCTTGGTCAGCTCACTGTGAGGGACTGTGACGCGGCTCTGGCCCGTGTGGCTCGGGTGGCTGGGCGTCGTCCGTGCACCAGAAGGTTGCTGGTTCAATTCCCCATCAGGGCACAGGCCCGGCTGCAGGCTCAACCCCCGTAGGGGTCGTGCCGGAGACACTCTGCTCTCCCATCAACGCTTCTCTCTCTCTCTCCTCCCTTCCCCTCTCCCTAAAACTCAACAAAAACATAGAAAGCAACAACTGTGATGTTCTGCTCTTAGGGTCCCTGTCTTTGGTTGCCAGTGACCTGGACAGAACTACAAAAAATATGATTTATGAAATTACATTTTCCTCCCATTCAACAAATATGGGATGTTTGTGAAGCTGACGGCTGAACGCTTTCCTGGCTGCGAACATAATCCGTGAGATTAGCATATGTGTAGGTTGGCAAGCTTTCCCTGTACAGGGCCGGTGAGTAAATATTTTCAGCTTCTACGTCACTCGATTTCTGTTCTGCTCCACTGGGGCCCAGAAGCTGCCACGGATGATACGTGAATGATGGGAGTGGCCCTATGCCAATGAATATTTATGAAATTCAAATTCAGATTTGAATTTCATGCCCTGAAATATTATTCATTCTTTGATTTTTTCCTACCATTTAAAAATATAAAAGTCATTCTTAGCTCTTGGGCCCTACAAAAGCAGCCAGCAGACTGGCTTTGGCCCGTGAGCCATGGCTTTTGGTGACCACTGGCCTTTTAGATGGTCTCCATCCTAATCTAAAACCTGCCCCATGTTGACTTCACAGGTTCCAACCAAACTATTTTTTGCTTCTCTGAGTTTCCTCAGAGTGTCCTGTGAAAATAACTCTGAGTCTCACTCAAAAACAGAAGGAGCCCAGATGTAACCTCAGCTCCTTCCTTTCCCCTCCATCCTGTAAGTCAAAGTGAAGACAGAAAGTCATGCTCCGGGGCCTCCTTTCAAAGATGAGTAACAGTGACAGGAGGGGAGGAGACCGGCAGCTTTCATCCGAGGTCTCACTCCTCCACGCACGTGGGACAGATGCTGAAGACATGGCTCAAACAATGGGAATGAACTTGCTAAAAATACACGTTTTCATAGATTTTTAGAGAGAAGAAGGGGGAGGGAGAGAGAGAGAGAGAAACATTGATGTGAGAATCATCATCAATTGGCTGCCTCCTGTGTGAACCCCAACCAGGCACTGAACCTGCAACCTGGGCATGTGCCCTGATGGGAATCGAACCAGCGACCCTTTGGTGCCATGGGATGGCGCCCAACCAGCTGAGCCACCCGGCCAGGGTGGGAATGACCTTTTGTAGCCGGGCACACTGGATTGAAGTGGAAACAGAGTTTCCTCGGTGCCCCACAGCTAACCTCTCTCTCTAGGCCTGCAGGGCTCGTCTACAAGACTTATCAGGGTGGCCTAGATTAGGGATCAGTAAGCTAATTTAACAGCCTTATTAAGCAAATGTCGTTTTCATTAGCCATATTAACATGCCAAAACACCCATGTTTTTAATAGGTATTATAAAATAATCCCTATTCATATCAAGTAATGAAGGAAGCCCTGGCTAGCTCACCTGTACCCAAATTACACTGATAGTATGAGTCAAGTCTCCATTTTTCTTAATCCAGTTAGACGTATGGGACTGATAATTGGTAGTAGAAAGTCAACGCATCATGAGATGAAATGAGTAAGACTTTTCTGGTGGTAAGAAAATCATGTGATGCTAGGATCCATCCATCATCCCTTCACACACACACACAGCCTCCTAATTCAATAATTTTAAACCTATAATTAAAGTTGTCCTTTATAATGTAATATATCATAAAGATAATCAGTTCCATCATTTGCACAAATAGCTAATCTAAAGGCAGCAAATATGAAAAGGATACTGACATCTTATCCCAAATTTCCTAAACTTTGTCCTGCAGGGGCCCTGGATCTTGGCCGAGAGTCACCCATGCAGCTGCGTCTCTGTTACACGCCTCACCACCCATAGCTCTAGCGGGAGCGAGACGAGCAAAAAACAGAACCCTAACGGCCAAGGCCACTGGTCTTACATTTATTTTTTCAAGTTTAACGAAAAGGGAAAAAAAAATCTCAAATTCGAGATTTTTCTTCAGAACAGTTTTACTAGTTTGCATACGGCGTGTGAACCCTCGCCTTTCCCTGTCCTACTCTGACCCCCCCCTTATTCACACTCTTCGTCGCCCCATATTTCATATATTGTAACATTGTTCTGCGGGTCTGAAGGCACCTCAACGGCCTGCGCCTTGTGGTTGCTGCCAGCTGCCACGGCGACTTTCAGATCCCGCACCTTGGACACGAACTGCACGAGGTCCATCTCGAGTTGGCTTAAGGTGTTGAAGGCGTACTCTTTGCTGGGGGAAACACACTGGTTTTTCTTCAGTGGAGCACGAACCGAAGAGCCTCGAAGGCCAGGAGGACTCTTTTCCTGTCAACAGAGAGAGGCAGGGTTTTGACACAGTTCCAGGAGAGTCGGGCTCACCTAAGAGAAGATGGTTCCAGCACTGCCCTGGTCCGGGGATGGGCAAAGCAGAGCCCAAGGGCCAGATGTGGCCCACCCTCTGTTTCTGGACATCAGGTTTTATTGGAACCCAGCCCTGCTCGTTCACACACGTGGCGCCTGGGGCTGCTTTCGGACTAAAGCGGCAGAGCTGGCTCATTGCAAAGCTGGGAACGTCCGCACTCTGGGCCCGCACAGAAAGGCTTGCCAAGCCCCTCGGGTCGGCTCCGACGCGGACTCGGGAGGCGCGGGGCCCGCCTAGCAGAGCACAAGCTGCCCCGTTTCTGTCTCTTCCCCCGACGGGGAGGTCCAGCGCTGTCGGAAGGGGCTGCTACCCCTCCACACCTCTGCCCCTTTACGACAGGCCTCGCCTTTACTTGGGATAGTGTTGCCATCTGCATCCGGTTCAGCAACTTGTACTAAGTCCGAGGCGAGGGAAATTAAACATCGGGCAGTGACTCTGGCTCTGTGAATAATTTGGACCCGAAACACGCCTGAATCTATTCTTAATTTGAACGAACTCATTGACCAGGCTAAATATCAAGCCGAGGTTCCCTTCACCCAATAAGCAGACGGTGTTCTCATCCGTCAGCCCCAGCCTCGGGTCTGGGGGCTGCTGCCTTCCCTCGGGCTACGTCGGGAAAGCAATTCGCCGGTTTCCCAGGACCACGAGGCGGGTGCTCTGCGTTCAAATCCCTCTCCTTAAGGCCCTGGGTGCTCTGCGTTCAAATCCCTCCCCTTAATTAAGGCCCTGGGTGCTCTGCGTTCAAATCCCTCTCCTTAAGGCCCTGGGTGCTCTGCGTTCAAATCCCTCCCCTTAATTAAGGTCCTGGGTGCTCTGCGTTCAAATCCCTCTCCTTAAGGCCCTGGGTGCTCTGCGTTCAAATCCCTCCCCTTAATTAAGGCCCTGGGTGCTCTGCGTTCAAATCCCTCTCCTTAAGGCCCTGGGTGCTCTGCGTTCAAATCCCTCCCCTTAATTAAGGTCCTGGGTGCTCTGCGTTCAAATCCCTCTCCTTAAGGCCCTGGGTGCTCTGCGTTCAAATCCCTCCCCTTAATTAAGGCCCTGGGTGCTCTGCGTTCAAATCCCTCTCCTTAAGGCCCTGGGTGCTCTGCGTTCAAATCCCTCCCCTTAATTAAGGTCCTGGGTGCTCTGCGTTCAAATCCCTCTCCTTAAGGCCCTGGGTGCTCTGCGTTCAAATCCCTCCCCTTAATTAAGGCCCTGGGTGCTCTGCATTCAAATCCCTCTCCTTAAGGCCCTGCTGCACCGGGGCATCCTCCTCGGAACGAGGTTCCTGAGCTGGAGGCAGCGGGGGTGAGGAACGGAGCCGCCTTACCTTACTCTTCGCACTCTCTCCTCGAAACTTTAGAACCATGTACAGCATGACCACAAAAAGGAACCAGAGCCATTTGCTGACCAGCCAGCTTTGGGCGTGCTCCGGGAGGCTCTGCCTAATCCGGAAGTGCCCCCCGCAAGGCACCTTCCCCTGGGGCTCTTTCACCGGCTCCCTCAGGGAGGAAAACATGAAGGCGCAGCCACACGACAGGCACACGGGCAGGAACAGGGCCCATCTCAGCGTCCGCATGGTGAGCCGACAGGGGGCGGGGAGCTGCTCATGGTGGGACGCTCTGCCCCTGCTCCTGGAGGAGGCCCGAGGCCGAGCCATCATTGATGTCACAGAGGCCCGAGCCAGGGGGGACCTGGTCATTATGATGACGCCAGGCAGAGTGAGGCCCACAGTGGCCCAGGAGGAAACTTAAAGGGAGACGGAGATGTTCCCAGCGGGCAATAGAGAGGGTGGCATGGTGGATCTCTGCCCACGCCCGCGCTCTGTTGGCTGAGGCCGGCATTTATTTTTTTGGTTTGTTGAATCCAGGCATCCTGTTGGACACATGGCAGGTGCCCCTGTGGAGCTGACAGCCCAGTGAGAAAGATCCTAAGCCAGAGGAGCCTGGTGGGTGGCTCAGCTGGTCAGAGCTTCGTCCGGTACACCAAAAGGTTGCTGTTCCATCCCTGGCCGGGCGTATATGCGAGGCAAATGATCAATGTTTCCTTCTCACACTGATGTTTCCCTCCCTCTCTTCCTTCCTCTCTAAAACCAATGAAAACATATCCTCAGGCGAGCATAAATATACATATATATGGAAGATCTGAAAACACTGGTCCCAATAGGACCTGCCCCTCTAGGTGGCCATGTCCTCTCCATAGTCCCCACCACTCCCTGTCGCCTCGCACTCACTGATTTTACCCAAGTGTGCAATCCCTGGGTTAAGGGGGTTATTAAAACTGTGATTAGAGCAAGGAGTGTTAAGAGCACAGAACAAGGTATTAGGTTCAGCAGGAGGGCCTTCCTGAAAAAGACATTTGGGAGGAGTCTGAGGGACAATCAGAGGGAGCTGACACCTAGATGTGTGAGAGGACCCCGAGGTGAGGACACAGCCTGTATGGCAGCCGAGGCTGATGCCAGGAATCTAACTAGGGCTCACTGGCCAGTGTGTTTGAAGCCATCAGCTTTTTAAAATGACATGAAACAAGAAACCCCAGTTAATGGAACACAGGCTTATCCTTGTCTCCTTGGGTCACCTGATTCAGACTCATTCTCCAGGAATAAAACGTTCTGATGAATATAATCAAGGGCCCACTGGGTACCCTCAAACTGTAGAGCTCTGGGCAGTGACAAAAGTTCTGCAAGACGACTTGAAAGCGAAGGGCAGGGCGGGGAGCTGGTCTGCGCTGCACAGGTGTCTGCGGCAGGGGCGGGTGCCGTCTGGAGCGGTGTGGGCCTCCTGCAGGAGACACCTGGGCAGGAGACTCAATGCACGCGTTAGGGAAGCAGCTGGCCTGGTTTCTACGGCTCAGACTGGAGGGTGTGCCTGTGACCTTCGGGGGCTCGTCCTTACAATCACACCTGTCCCCCGTCCTTGCTCATACCCAGCGCTCTTGTGGGAGAGTCGCTCCTGGTGCTGAGCCACACCAGCGGAGTCCTCTGAGCTGCACCAGGTGTGCGTGTGCCCTGACAGGGATCTAACATTTGGTGGCTACGGTGTGATGCGGTAAGGGACAAGCAGCCTTGATTTAGAGAGGACCCCAAACCACAGAAACGCTCAGGAAGTTTAGTCCCATGTGATTTTTATTTGGGAACGTTTACATGTATTTAAAGACAGGAAGTGCATGGTGTCACGGAGTTACTCCTGTTGCTAAATTTTCTTATAAAACATGAATGGAAGAAAGAAGAAAAATACAGACAGATGAGAGAAAGGCCAATTGCTTTATTTTTGTATCAAACGCCAGGTGCCCAACTCAATCTCTTCCATCTTCAAAGTGATAAACTAAGGGACACCCCGCCCCTAAGTACTCGACCCCGAGCCCCAGCTTCTCAGGTGCTCCTGCAAACAGACCTGCGGACAGAGTGTGTCTGAAGCTCATCCCTTCTATTTAATTAACTGCTGGCAGCAGAACCGTTTGGACTTTACTCAAAGTGAGCCAACCACACATCCACGAGGCATCTGGGATCTTTAATGATCTCAAGCATGGAAAGTGCAGCTAGCACGGCCTTTGGGGCCATGGATGGGGGCACTGAGATGGGGGGAGGGTCGTGGGGGCCCAGCACAGTCACCCAGCATGCCCTCTCCAGGAACCCACGTGCCTCAGAGGAAAGAGTGGCCACGCTGGCACCAAGGTTTAGGGGGACCACTTGATGACCGTGCAGAGGCTCCGGCACAGGCTGCGCCCACACCCCCTGCCTCCAGGAGCCTGAACGAGCCTGGGGGGGGGGGCGTGGCCTGTGTGGCCCGGGCTCAGAAGCAGTAAGATGTGTGGGTGACCCAATGGGCTGACTCCTCCTTGGAGCGCTTGGCGGAGCTGTGGGTCGTGAAAAGGGACTTGTAAGCCTCGGACTCCTCGCTGTCGGCGATGGACCTCTTGGTGGCACCACAGGGAGGCTTCCCGACTTTTCCAGAAGAGCTCCCATTAGCTGCTGGGAAAATGAAAAGCCAGACACTTTACGGCTGGGACTAAAGATCATTCCAAACACCACGTTCTCCAGGGGAGAAAAGTCTGTCACTCCCGGGAATTTCCCTCCTCCTCCTCCTCTTTTGGGATGAAGGTGGAAATTCATCGTTTCAGTCACCAACTCCTACAACAGAGGAAGCTACAACATTTAAATCTATTGCCTGAAATCACACCACTTAACTACTTGCAATGTGCTCACACTGACCCCAGTTCAGTGACTGACATGAGTCAGGCCCTCCTCACAAGTGGTGGGATTTGCCTGTTTTATGGGGCGAAAGGGGGCACCGGGAAGCTGAGTGATGTCCCCTTGCCTGGTGCTACTACATAGAGTGGGGATTGGAACCCATAACCACTGTGGATCTATTCACAACACAAGGAACACAAGGTAACACATTCTTGAACCTAATGAACCCGTGTTGTTTCTGTGAAATAAACACTTTTTTTTTCTAGTTAAAGGTAGTAGGTTTCAGGAGAAATGCGCTGAATTCAGGACTATAGGCTGAATGACTGTCTGAGCGCCATGTGGATACACACAAACCCAGCCTGAGAGGGATGGGGTACATCCCTGCCCTGCACCTGAGCCTCGCCCTCTGCCCAGTCTCTGGGATGTCAGGTCCAGTTCTATGAAGCCTCGTTAGCCTGGCACCAAGCATATGCTCAACAGGAAAAGTGAACAATCAGCGTTTATGCCCAGAACCCATCCATCCTGACAGGCTCCAGCTTTGGGGAATGTTAACTGTTTCTTAGTCCCCAAGAGAGCTCAGTAAACTACCAAGAGACAGGACTTAGGATGAGCCTCAATTATTGAGTTCACGCCAATAAACTGTGGCGTAGCCACCAGGGCCTCCAGCTTTCTGGCAGCTTGCTGTGGGCTCAGTGGGACCCACCTGCACTTCTGGGAGCCAGGCTGACTTTCTTCTCCTTTGAGTCAAGACTGGAGTCTTCAGGCTTCCCCATCTTAATTTTGGATGGCCCTGCAGGCTCTGTAAGAGAAACAAAGTAAGCAAAACAGAACCAAAACACAGACACGAACTCACTCAGCACATAGCCCTACAACCTGGTTTTGCCCAAGGAACATTTTACCTTCCCTGACGTCCGGACTGGAGACAGACTCGGCCACCTTGGGTTTCTTTGTTTTCTGTGGAGAGAAAGGGGGAGTTGGAGATGTGTCGCATGCCCTCTACACTGGTGTCGGGCCGCCCGCCACCCCGAGAGCCTAATGCCAGGCCGTGCAGTTCACACACGGCGGGTGCTCATTCTGAAGACAGCCCAACGTGTAATGAATTCCAGACCTGGACCCTCTGCACATGTCCCCAGGTATATGCTTTGCCTCACACAAGATGGTATCTGTAGAATCTGCTTAAGTGTATGTTCCAGAAACCACATTCTCAAAAATTCTAATGAAGATGACAGGTTTCAGGGATAAATCGACGTTGATGGTGACTATGTCCCCAGAAGACCGGCTAAATGAATACTAACGTAAGTACACATGGCACATACAGTCCAGCCAGGATATACACTCTAGCAGGACCCTCCACAGCTGTCAAACTGCTTTGATATTTGTTTATTTAACCATGAGGACTTGAGGCTTATGATGAAGGCTACTTTAGCCGATTCTCCTAACCTCTGAATTACTGCTGTTAGAGTTTTAAGCACTGGGATTATGTTGCTCTTAATTTTAGAAATGAAATAAACACCCTACAACCACATAGCTGTGTTAGAACTGATTCAATCACAGGAGAAATAGGGCCCCACTCATTCAGAGAATTTCCTTTAAAAATGCCATTTTCCTAAGTGGCCAAAAGATGGCGCTACAGACACATGGCCTAATTACTGCAGAAGGTTCCCATCACTAGACAATGTAGGGAAAAGACATTTCTCTGGCAGTAGCCTTGAACCTATAGTACACACTTGTGATGTGGTTTGTAACACTTGTACAAGACATAAAAACTGTTCACCACACACACAAGGCACGCATTCAGACCTGAGGATAATACCTAGTCCTTCAAAAAAGAAATAAAGCCCAGTTAGGTGTGGCTCAGCGGTTGAGCTTCAACCTAGGATCCAGGCAACTGGAGTTCAATTCCGGGTTGCGGGCTCGATCTCCAGTCGGGGGCGTCCAGGAGGCAGCGGATCAATGACTCTCATCATTGATATTTCTATCTCCCTCTCCTTTCCTCTCTCTGAAATCAATAAAGATATATTTAAAAAAAAAGAAAAAAGAAATAGAGACCACTGTTGAGTTCCAAGCCCTCGGCTCACAGCTGAGGTTATTTGAAAAGCACAGCAATAAGGAGTCGGGAAGAAATGCTGTGTCTGTCTCCAGCTGCAAGCATCTGTGGGGAAAATCTTGGTGTCCTGGTCGCAGTATCTAAGAGGCACTCCCAGAAGGTCTGGGGAGCTCTTTGAGGAGAGGGGCGTGTGAGTCCCCCGGGCAATGAACAACTTCCCAGGAAGCCTGGGAAAGACAGGAGACAACTCACCAAAGTCAAGTGTTAAATTAATGACCACTCGGACATCTTCCAGGAGCTGTTGCTAATGTACAATTTTTCCCTTTTGTGCTTTTTTTAAAAAAATGTTTTTATTGATTTTAGAGAGAGAGGAAGAGAGAAGGAGGCGGGGGGGGG